TATATATATATATATATATATATATATATATATATGTGTGTGTGTGTGTGTGTATATATATATATGTGTGTAGGCCGGCATTCCAAGTTTTATGGCTCAGAGAGCTACAAACCTAGGAATAATAACCTGGGCCTTGATTTAAGGGCTTGAGCTTAGAGCAAGCTGGTACCTCTAGTCTAAAGGGGGATGCACACTTAGGAACTGATGAGTGAAACAAAGAGTGCTGATGTTTTGTTTGTAAGAATCCAGCATGCACCCCCTCCTTCCTCACACAACCCCTCAAAGAGATTTGCCTGTTGTGTGTGTCTTGTCTACGTGTTTCCCTTTTTGTTGGTTTAAATATCTAGAAGTTATGTCTGTATGTTCCATTAAGTGGTCTTAATAATTTTGTTTCCCTCACAAAGGTAGCTCATATATTATTGCCTATCTTCCTCACATAAACCATTATATAAATATATATGTAGTCATACACGTGCAGATACCCCTTCATGTTCTCACATCTCCCTTCAGAAATTAGGAAACATTTAAAGAAATGTAACCATGTGTCATAGTTATAACTTTGCCTCTTATAAGGCCTGTTATAGGAGAGCACTTTCCTTGTTTAAACTGTTAACCTTTTGATACAAAATATGCACATAGTAATTTTTTTGTTTATATACCTTTCGCTAATCCATACATTTGTATTAATTACTTGCAGTGTTTGAAGGGAGGAGACTTTTATTGTGGGGGGGGGGAGGTGACGTTGTTGTGTTGAGTAAGTTCTTTATTAAAAACGTGTTGAAAGAAAATGGAGTTTAGCAGTGTGTTTATTGCTATTTAACACTGGTAGCAGAGGATGTTAAGTCATTATAAGATTCCGGCAACCTTTGGCGAGGACAATAATAATAATAATAATAAATTTTATTTATAATGCACTTTTCATTAAAACAAATCTCAAAGTGCTACAAAAGTAAAATCAGCACATAAAAACACATAAAATCAGCAATAAAATGCTCGTTTAAAAAGGTGGGTCTTTAGGCCACATTTAAAAGTGGCTACATTCTGTGGTGCCCTAAGATGCTCTGAGAGGGCATTCCAAAGACGAGGGGCAGCAGAGCAAAAGGCCCGATCCCCCATTGTGCGGAGTTTTGTCCTTTGAGTTTTAAGAAGGTAGGTTGAGGAGGAGCGGAGGGAACGTACGGATGTCTGAGGAGTGAGGAGATCCTTGAGGTATGTAGGAGCAGTTCCGTGAAGACATTGGTGGGTGAGGAGGGACACCTTATACTCAATGCGGAGTGAAACAGGGAGCCAATGGAGTGTTTTTAGAATGGGAGTAATGTGGTTGAATTTTCGCACCCTCATCAGGATCCTAGCAGCGCTGTTCTGCACGTATTGAAGTTTTTAAATGCTCTTGCTAGGGATCCCATTGAGGAGCGCATTGCAATAGTCCAGCCTGGAGGAGACAAAGGTGTGCACCAGCTTTTCTGCATCTGCCAGGGTGAGTAATGGACGAAGTTTGGCGATGTTCCTGAGGTGGTAAAAAGAGGTTTTGCATAGCTGTTGGATGTGAGTATCGTAGGTGAGATGGGGGTCCATTTTTACACCGAGGTTGGTGACAACTGATGATAATGGAATGTCCTGATCTGAAAAAGAAATACTTGTGATGGTGGAAGTGGAAACCTGGTTTGGAGTGCCGACTAGGATCGCCTCAGTTTTGGAGCTGTTTAGCTGCAAAAAGTTGAGCTTCATCCACGCCTTTATGTCCTCTAGGCAGGTGGTGAGAGTGGCAGAATGCGACAGTGCAGAGTGGTTGGGGTGGTTAAAATCCATTTTTAAGTAAAGCTGTGTGTTGTCAGCGTAGCAGTGGAAAGATAGTCCATGTGTACTGATAACACGACCAAGAGGGAGCAGATAAAGGGTGAAAAGAGTAGGTCCTAGTACCGAGCCCTGGGGAACCCCACAGGTGACAATGTGGGTATCTGATTTGGCTTTTCCCAGGGCAACGTGCTCAGTTCTTCCAGAGAGAAAGGAAGAGAACCAGCCGTAGACGGAGTTGGAGAGACCGATGGTGGTATGAAGGCGGTGCAATAGGATATCGTGATCGACGGTGTCAAAAGCAGCGGACAGATCCAGAAGAATGAGAAGGGATGGGGAACCAGCATCAGCTGTCATGAGCAGGTCATTGGTCACTCTAACCAGCGCTGTTTCCGTGCTGTGACCTTGACGGAAACCAGACTGAAATGTTTCATATAAACTATTTAGTTTCAGATGGTTATGAAGTTGGGAA